AGTTAGTTAAGTAACAAGGTAATGATACATTCCATTATATCTAGTTAGTTAAGTAACAAGGTAATGATACATTCCATTATATCTAGTTAGTTAAGTAACAAGGTAATGATACATTCCATTATATCTAGTTAGTTAAGTAACAAGGTAATGATACATTCCATTATATCTAGGTACTTAAGTAACAAGGTAATGATACATTCCATTATATCTAGGTACTTAAGTAACAAGGTAATGATACATTCCATTATATCTATGTACTTAAGTAACAAGGTAATGATACATTCTATTATATCTAGGTACTTAAGTAACAAGGTAATAATACATTCTATTATATCTAGGTACTTAAGTAACAAGGTAATGATACATTTCCATTATATCTAGGTAGTTAAGTAACAAGGTAATGATACATTCCATTATATCTAGGTACTTAAGTAGCAAGGTAATGATACATTTAAGATTAACTTGTTTGATTTTCTAACGATGTTGTGATCATTTTAGCAATATACATTTTTTTGTGCTCTGATACAAAAGTGGAAAATAACTGTGCAACTATTTTCATGAAATACTCTTAACAGATGTTTTTACCAAGCTAAAGTTTTGATTGAAATTAAAAGCTATTATAGTTTTCATTGAATGGAAAAAGCTTGTTCTTTCTATAGCAAATGGCTCAGCTGGTCACGGGCAACATGGCTGTTAAAGGAACCAAATTTTTGTGGAAATGTTTGCCAGTTCATGTGGAAAAGGCTGACAGGTCACAACTGAGGGTAAAATGGAAGACTGAAGAAGGGAAGACTTGTGATGATGTGTTTGACACTGTCTTGTTTGCTGTTGGTATGGTTCCGCCTGTTAGTGTGTGTGAATAACATCATTGGCCTCTTAAAATCATTAATAAATAAGGTCTCTCAGTGGTTTGTTTTGATCTTTGTAAGAGTTGTAATTGTTTCAAAATACATTTAACATATACGTTAAATACGCTGTGCCAGTGTTCTTGATTTGGCAATTGATTGTAGAGAAAATTGAATAGTAATATTGTAAGCCTTTCTTTTTTCTTCTGTTAGGTCAAAAAAGAAGTGACATAAGTGCTTGGTATCAGTATCTTAGTTATTTAAAATTAGGTCTAATAGATATTTATTCGTCAATTTAAACTTGTTTTACAATTTTAACCTAATCTTGTGACCTTGATTGATGGTATGTTGTCTAGTAAAAACTACATGTTTTGCAGAGTAAGGTTACGAAGATACCTTCAATCTTAAAACCTGCTTTCACTCAAGGACAAAAGGTATTAGATTTATAACCAAGGATCACATCTTAGACTCTTTATATAGTTTAACAAAATAAGCTGTATTTATCGCTGTGAAATATTATTTTACTGCTGGAAAAATTGACTGTTAAAAGTGAACATTGTAGTCACAAAGCTGTTTAATTTGTTTGAATTTTAACTTCAGCAGTTTGTTTAAGAGATACATAACTAAGTCCATTTATATATAATCTAGCATTTGTAATGTTGAGGGTTGAACATAGCCCAATGGCTAGTCTAGAGTATGGAGCCAAGGTACCGTGACTTACTTCCCTTTACAGCTAAAGAAAATTGGTCTGTGGGTAAAGATAATAGTGATTGTCAAACCCCACTAGTTGATCTGACAAGTGTAGCCCAAGAGTAGGTGATGTTAACTAGTTGCTTTCCCTCTGGTCTATCATTACAAAATTAGGGATGGCTAGTCCAGATATCCCTTCTGCAAAATATCCTACAAAAGAAACAGATAGTTGTGATTTTGATAAAATGGTTTTCACGTATCTTAATCTTCTTACCTTTTGTCCTTGAGTGAAAGCAGGTTTTAAGATTGAAGATATCTTCGTAACCTTACTCTGCAAAACATGTAGTTTTTACAAGAAAACATACCATCAATCAAGGTCACAAGATTATCGTTAAAAACTATAACATTCACAATAGTGACAATTAATCTAGTGTGCAGTTTCATTTTGTGTTACAACAAAGTTTGCTGGCAAAGTGTTTTTTGTTCCATGTAACTCTTCAGAAGAAAGATTGGTACACGTATTTTCTAATCAGCTACATCAAGTAAACATGAACTGAAAGATGCCATATAAACGTCACTTGGATCATAAAGATGGGAAACAAAACTCGAGGCAATACGCACGATTGAGTTAGTTGTAAGGGTTATCGGATATTTTGATTGTGACAGCTGCCGGGAGAATGGCAAAATGTGATACTGAATGCTGTACCATATTTAAAGAGTAAAATGTTTAGATCAAAACTCGTTTCTTCTTACTGTTTTTCATTTACCTCACCTGTACTGGCCACTGTTTGAAGAAAAAAGGTTTTTAGAGAAAAGCTACAATAAGATGACGGATGTTTTAACTAACTGCAAGACTGTTGATAATTGTGCGTACAGAAATATCAAATATGGGCTGTGTATGAAATAAGTTTTTATGCCATAAGGTTACTTGTTAAATAAGTACGATGAGAAGATACCAATATCTGTATACTATTATGACAAACTTTAGGCCTAGACCTTGTGCACATTATTAATGTTAGTATCTGTGGGAGGTTAGACTTCTTGTTACATTAATATTTGTATACTACTATTACCAATTTGAGGCTTAGATGTTGTACACATTAACGTAGAGTTACTTTTATATTAATCTGCACAGCTAATGGCGTCACTAGAAAGTAAATTTCTTTATAATTTTTATTTACATAAGGTCAAATTTTGATCATCAGTCTGTGGAAATATTTAGATTTACGCTTGTGGAATTAGATGTGATGTGTTATACGAACACCGAAAGCTCTAAGACTCATGGCTGCCTCAGCAAATAAGCTCATATGACACTAGATTAGCACCACTATCTTCCGTTACTTCTATTTTATTTACCGTCTCAGTGGCTTATGTCAGTTTTAGTGTTGTTGTATTGTTTTAATCAGGAAGACAAACCCAAACCACGTACCGATTAAA